AAGTCCAGAAGCATGGACACAGGCTGCTGTGCAACATGGGCCATCCTCCTGTTCAGGGTTGGCAATGAGCAGTTGTGGATTTCATGGTTAAGAACGAGGGGACGAGGGAGAGCCAGGTTCGAATCCTCCCTCGGCCACAGAATTCATTGAGCGACTCTGGGCCAGTCCTCTTTTGATCTAATTCACTTCTTACGGTGGTACTGAAGATGAAACGGCGGGGGGGGGGGGAGGAAGGATCATGTCTGCTACCGTAAGCTCCCGGAGGAAACGTGGCATGTAAATTGGCGAACGATTCCGCGCAGCGCCCTTCTCTGCCACAGCTTTATGCATTTGTTCATTCTACCGTTGCAGAATTCAGCCTCCGGAGGAAGGCAGCGTTGGCTTCCAGTGGAAACTAGGCTTCAAGACGTGTGAGCAATAGGTTAATTTCAGGAGCTTCGGGGAAAAGTGGGAACTGGAGGTAAAGCCCAGAAGACCTCCGCAGCTTTCTCTGCCTCTCTGCACAAACATGCCTTATTTTGCATAATGTATGGGATTGCAACATCTCCCCCTTCCCCACACAAAGCAGATTCCTCTGGGGAAGCACAAAGCAGATGGGACACTGATCCGGGACCCTCTTTCCACAGTTGTCCCCCTTGGGTTGACCAACGCTACGGACAGAGAGTGGCGCGAAAGGCCGCCAGGTTGGCTATTCAACTGAGAGAGCCAAGTTGCACAACGTGATGGAGCCCAGCATCCTCTGTAGAGCAACTACCCTCCACGCCTATTCCCAGGGCAGGCACACCCATTTGCTTAGACCAGGGATGTGCCCATGTTCAGGGCTGCGCTAGCCTTTGTGGGGCATGCTGCCCTCCAGAAGGAATGGCCAGGGGATCCAGGACTTGTAAACGGTGAAACGAACCATCTTGGGCATCTCCGTGGCTTACAGGAACCAACGTGCCTCTTGTCGTAGGAGAGACGTTAGTCTAGGGCAGCCAAAAGTCAGGGGGACCTGGTAGCGTCTTTTCTGACTCAGAAATGTTATTAAGAGGCCTCAGCTTTCGTGAGCCACAGCTACCAGGGTCCTCCTGACATTATGCCCCTTAAAACCCCCATGAAAAGAAGACCCAAACTTTTAACCCCATCCGTCCCCCGAAAAGGGGTGCTGGGGGGGCCAGACAGCCTCCAGCCCGCTTTTGCATCTCTAGCCCAGATCGTGGGACAACCCAGGGTTGCTTTGTACTCCGTTTGTTCGGTTCTGCCAAAGTCTGTGAGTCAGGCGAAAGCTCCAAGCCCACAGGAGGGGGTGGTGGCGGGAATACCCTCCGCTGGGCCCAGACAGCATCCTGTTTGGAAAGTAATCCACACCAGCCCCACAGCGAAAAAGCACCAGGGAGAAGTCAGGCCCCGTACCAGCCAAACAGCAGGCTGAGGCCTGATGGTTGCCGAGCGAGAGATTAATCATTCGGGGGTTCCCCTTGGGTCTCCCCACCAGCTCGCCGTCTCGAGGGAAAGTGGCGTGAGATCCAGCTGTGAGCTGGCAAGAGCCTCCTGTTTTTCTGCCCTGGGGCGGCAGCACAGGGCTGGGCTGAAGCGCCCACGGTGCTCAGTTCCAGCTTGCCGAGGGCGTCAGCCCGGTGCCCCGTGTCTGTGGAATTCAGGGGAGCCATTGGAAACTGGCAGGCGGTCACGTTGGCACAGAGGAACCTCACTCTGGAACGCAAGTCCGAATGCCTGGGTCCCAGCTGTTCCCAGCATCAAGGCAGAGGAGTTTTACAGAAATTCAACTGCTTGGATTTGGGGCCTCGGGGGGATATGCTGGAACTCTGACAGGGGGAGTCGGGGGGGGGGGAGCTCACAAGCATCCTCCTCCTTGGCCAATTCAGGTGATGTTGCTAGGCAACTGACAGCCGTGTCATGCTGCTAGTCCTCTGCGAGTCTGCCTCTGGCAAGAAAGAGAAGGGAATTTGCGATTTTGGAGGACTAGACAAATTACAGCACAGGAGTGCAATGTGTTCTCTAAAGTCTTGGGTTAACTTAAGAGTAGGGTTTGTGATACAAATACCTCTAGGCCGGCCTTTCCCAGGCTGGCACCCTCTGGCAATGTTGGGACTGCAATTCCCAGAATCCCCAAGACTTCAGCCTTAAATATAGTGTATGTTCCCCACAAAGAGGATTGAATTCAGCAACAGATTTCTCTCCCCCGCCCCCGGCAATAAAATTTTAGGGAAGAAGTTCAGCTCAGCTTGGAATATGCTGGGCAAAAGCCCTTTAAAAACACAAAAACAAAACTTCCCATCTGAGTTGTAACGCTTCTGCTGAAGCTGATTCTGAGGTATAGGTAACCCCAGCTGTTTAATCTCCCCCACCAGGGACTTAGTGGGTTAACTTCCAGAGGTGGCAGTTTCTGAACCGATATAGAAATCCTGCCTGTTGGCATTTTGGGAGCAAGGGCTGACTGACATCTGGACATCATTACGGGCTCTGGCATTCTTCAGGGCAAAAAGTACTGCAGTGAGGTGGTTGCCACAGGCACAGACCACACTCAAGCTAAGCTGGTTGAGCAATGCTGTCCGTAAGGGGAATAACCCCTCCCCAATGTAGCACTGACTTGTTCCACAGGCAAAGTGGGAGGGGAAAACCACATGTATTAAGGCACATCCATTTAAAAAAAAAAAAACAGCTCCAATCTCTGCCCAGATTAGCCCCAATCAACACAAGCGTCTTTGCTGCTTTCTGACAGCAATCAACAGGTGTGTGAAATATACCTGGAAAACTTTCTATTTTCTAACTTGAATTTGTATGCTGGAAAATCCGGCTTTGGGTTAGAGATGCCCTGCTGTCTGTCAGTTGCTGAGGAATGCCACACCCCTTGGGCTGGTGATTTTGAGAATGTAATTAACAGGCGCACATTTTTCTGTGCAGAAAATTCAAGGCCCTGGGGCAGGCTGGTGAGGATCTCCTTCTCGCAATTATTCAACAGGACCACGCCAAAGGAGCTACAGGCATTCTGATTCTGGATGCAGTAGAAAAAGTAAGGTGCAGATACATTTCTGTTACACGGCCAGGCTGCTTCCTAACAGAAAGGTGTGCGTAGGTAAAGGCGGTCACGGAGCAAAACTGCCAGGGGTTCTTGATGGCAAGGAATGAACGCTCCTTGCTAAATTCTCTACAGGAACGAAAACCATCTGAGGCCATGAGATCCCATAAATTTGGTAGCCAAGGATTAGCCATGGAGAAAGAAAAAAACTGTGTTTATAGAGGTGGCTGGAGAAGAAAGACTTCTGCTTTGAACTTCAGCTATATGATGCTTTACTTGTCACCTGGATAAGCTCCTCCGTTTTCAAAGGGATTTATATCTAGGAAAAGTATCGTTCTGCAGCTTTAATACTCTAGGCCAGTGTTTCTCAATCTTGGCAGCTTTCAGATGGGTGGACTCCAACTCCCAGAATTCCCCAGCCAGCCCGTCAATGAACCAGACTATAATATGTATTTATGTAATGTTCCTTTGAGTTTTATAGATTTTATGTATTTGTATTTTTTGGGTAGGGGAGCTAAGAGAGAGAGAGAGAGATACAAACCTTACCCGGTTAACTTAGTGGGCATCTACACATACCATTATTTTTTAAAAAGCAAGAGTTGAAGTCCACACATCTTAAAGTTGCCAAGTTTGAAAAACAGTGTCTCACCGAAACAAGTCAACCCTGTCAACTTTACCCTTTTCACTTTTAAAGACATTTCTATGCTTTGGGGAGATGCTCTGGGTGAAATATTCCCCTTTGGGTTACCTGTTTGTGAACATCTCATGAGGCCACGGCAGCCACAATCTGCAGCTGTGCCACTGCGCTTTCTTGGAGGCTGGGAACAGCGGTTCCTGCAAATGCAAGCCCAGTTAGCAATAACCCTAACATAAATTTGCAGTGGTGAGTGTCAGATTCCTCTGAAGTGAGAAAAGGGGAAGCTCTTGCGTCACTCTGATGTGACCAAAACATCTCAGGCCGACTTGTTGCCTAAGATGAAGTCAGTGGCAACTAGGAAGGAAAGGCCTTTTGCGATGGTGTTAGCATTTCTTTGGAAGTTTCCCCCAGGGAGCTCTGCTGAACCCCTACATGGTTATCCTTCTAGTATCGAAAAGCTTTCCATATTCTCAGGCACCTTCAGTTCTGTATTTTACCTCCTTTGACTTTTGGCTCCAACCGTTAGGATTACATTTTGGGTTTAATCGTAAAATCATTATGGTCACCTAAGGAGCCCTGGAATCACAGTTAAAGGTCAGCAGAGAAATGGCTAACAGCAATCAAACAACGCCGTATGGTCGCCCCATCGTCCCAGAGAGCATCTGACCTCCCATGCCAAGTTAGAAGATTGCTTTTTCCTGCAATTTTCCAGAGTCCAAGAATCCAGGCCAGCTGTTTATTGGAGATGTGCTGCCCCCTCCTGGCCTTACCCAACCAAAGCAGGTGACAATGATGGGCTTCAGAAATCAGCACATCCTAGCCTACCTTTAAAGCCGGTTCTCGGTGGGGTAGATTTCGCCAGGCCTCCTTGGGGCCCCAAGGTGCCCCTTGTCACAGGCAGACAGCTAGCTAGGAAAACTGCTGAGAACAGGCTTTTCTCTCTCTCTCTAGCATATACCCCCCCCTTCCTCCAAACCAGATCAAACCGCGACAGCCGCTCTTGCAAGCCACCTTGGTTCATCAGAAAAGGGAACATGGTGCAGCTTGCATCCTGGCCAGGCCTCCCTTTCATCTGTAAAGGGAAACTTCCCTACTCCCATAGAAGAACATCGGTTCCCCTAAGTTAATTGCAGAATCAGTGAGGGTGAACTCTAAAAGGGACTTCTGTTTAGGTACCTCCTTCTGTTTTCTAAACTGTAACCCTTTAGAGACAGGGACTAAAGGCGTGGTCTCAGGCAGAATGTTTGACTTCAAGAACCAGGAGCCACTGGGTTCTACAGGCAGATTCTACGGAGGTGGCAAAATTCCTACGTACTCTGAAGAAACTGCTGGATGACACCAACCCTTATATAACAGTTTTATTGTTCAGATGCTGGAAAAAACACTCAATACCCAAATTGCTACCGAATAACAGAACACTGGCAGGGGTGGAGGGATGTTTGATTTGGGGTGAGTCCAAACTTGAGGCCAGCTCTACCCTAAAGGAGACTGATTATTTACAACAGTGTTTCTCAACCCCGGCAACTTTAAGAGGGAAATGCTGGCTGGGGAATTCTGGGAGGTGAAGTCCATACCTCTTAAAGTTGCTGAGGTCGAGAAACACTGCTTTACAGGCCAAGGGGAAAATGCAGCCTCAAGAAAGGAACGCAGCTGTATTTCCACAACAGGGGTGCCCAGATAAAGGGATGACATTTACTGAGGCATGTTAAACACACTGGCCTTGCCTGGCCTTTCTCTTTTCAGCAATCTTTTCCTACTGGGGACTCAGAATTCAGGAAGAGATGTGGTGATCTCCCACCACGTACCAAATTTCCCTCAGCAACCAGTTCTGATCTCAACACTCCATCCATGTGAATGTGAAGCTGATTCTTCCACCCAATTCAGCAAGATGAATACCACCTAGGGTGGGGTGTCAAACGTACATCTCCCCATTCTGCCACCAGCAGCAGGGTGCCCCGGTGCCTTCACCTCCATCACAGGAACTAAGATCTCAGATCCATCTCCTCTGTTTCCATATTGTCAGCCACTTCGGGCTCCTCCCCATCAAAATAACGTTCTTCCTCATCCCTCGAGACAATGTCGAGGTTATCAAAATCTGGATTCTCATCCACTTCGCTGCCGGAGTGGGAAGTCAGGAGACAAAAGAGAGAATGGAAAAGGCATCAGGCATTCGTTACTTCCAAGAAAGCACGTACAGAACGTATCATTTTACAAGCTTCTTGTCCTGTGACTGACCTGCATTTTTCAATTAACACCTGGAAGAGAGGCTACTTAGACAAGCTAGCTCTTCCCATTTACTCTTGTGAGCTGTGAGATAATAAACTTCCAGCTCTAACCTCAATTAGATCATTACTTCTCTCTTTTGTCTTAGCAGGAGCCCAGCGCCTGCTAGACACTTAATCCTCATTAATATGTAACCTTCCCTTGCCGATGCTAAAGTGAGCAATTCTGGGGGTGGATGGGGGACAGAGAGGCTGCAGGGCTACAGAACTTGCCCGATGAAAGCGACCCCTTTGTGAGTGCCATTCTGGAGGCTGTCGCTGCCATGCCACTTGGGCTCACCGTGGCAATTAGGGAAGGACTCCTGGTGCTGTAAATAATCAATGGGGACAATTTAAATAAACATGATGCTGTTGATTTTGGTGCTGGCACCTCCTTTAATGTCCTCCTGCTTTGATATCATTGGCCGGCAACACAAGAATTTCAGAAAACATTCCTGCATCTAACTGCCCAATGGGAAGAGATATCTCCTTGGGGTGCAAGATCATTCGGGGAAAACCTGTTGTAAGCAACCTGAAACAGCAGGTCCTTCTACTTTGGAGGATGGAGTAGTAAAGTACTTGTGCATTTTCCTCTTCCCCCCAGGCCCCTCTTCTTTTCATGTCATGACCATCTGACTGCTAGCCTTTCAGAAGTGGGGAATGTATGAGCCCGGTTACCTGGACTTGGCTTGCATAACCTAAATCCTGCTTAGGGTTAGGTATGCAGGCAGCTCCTGCAGAGACCTGCCCTGTCCTTACCTGTAGTCAAAGTCCAGATCCTTGCCATCAAGGAAGCGCTGATACATACGGCTTGTGAACTCTTCCCGCAGAAAAGCCTTCTCCCCCTCACTGGGAACCCACTCATCTGCATCAGGGTCAAAAGCCTTGTCTAGTGAGGGAAGAACACAAGGATAGATGCTCAGCGCTGGGGACAAACTGGTCTTCTCTGTTTTTTTATATGGCCTCTTATCCTAACTCTTTTCTTCTGCAAAGCTCAGAGGAATTCAGAGAATTCTTTAGGGAGATAGAAATCCTGCACAGCAGTTCAGGAGAGAATAAGAAACTGGTCTTCCTATTTTGGGGGTTCTGTCCATTACTCCCAATTTTCCTGCAAAGCCACTGATCCACCAGGGTCTCTGCCATTCTGTTCAAACCCAACTCAGCTGCTCTCAATCTCCTGCAGGGCCTGGACTCTTGCCCTTGAGGTCCAACCGCTAGATCCCACTTTCTTGCTTCACCAACCTTCACTGTCATGGTCGCTGTCTTCTTCCTCCTCCTCTTTGCAGGCCTCTTCCTGCTCCTGCTGGACCTGCAGCCGCTGCTGGATGACCTGCTCCTGGTAGGAGTCTAGGAGGACACCTGAGAGGGAGCAGGAAGCCTCCAGCTTACAGTTGCCCAGCATCTGCAGCTCCTGATCACTCAGATACTGTCCGATATACTGCTCATAAAGGAGAGGGTCCCGGCCACGCATCTGCTCATCGCTGAAATATTCCCCACCTGCAAGGAACAGGGACAGAGGAGTCTGCAACAAGAAACCTGGAGCCAGAAATGGTGGTGCAACAGACAAACTGAACCAGAGAAATGGTAACTGCTACTCTCTCACACACACACATATCCATCATATGCAGTCCAGACAGTAGCAGAACACCTGCCTTGTAGTTCCGTCCCAGGCAGGGCTGCAAAATTCCTGCCCAGAATGCTGGAGAGCAGTAATAGGCCTTATTGTTCTCTCCTCATGAAAAAAATAATATCCGTTTCTATTGGCTGCTGCCAGACCTGCGGCCTTTGATCGAGCCTCCTCTAATTCTAAATTGTACCAAGGAAACAATTCAGGGGTTTGCATACCACCTCAATTCCACGTTTCTAGACAGTTTACGATGCACGATAAATGCATAACTACCCAGAGAACAGACTCAGACAAACTGTAAGAACAACGGCCCATGTTACCACTACCCTTCAAAAGCCCACATAAATAAAATAGCTTTGATAGCCTTGCAGAAGACTGACAACAGGGGGCCAGGCATATTTCTGGTGGCAAGTATTCCTGAGCATCAGGGCTACCACCAAGAAGGACAGCCTTTGGGTCCAACTCCCACTCTTCTGAAGGGGCAGGGACATTAGGCAACACGTTGCTCAGTAATTGCACAGAAAGGGAAGAATCATTTTGAAGGAGACTGTTCCCCAAAATTCATTCATGTATTTACAATATTCGCAGACCACCCCAATTTGTGAGATTCTGGGCAGTGTACAAATAAGGTGAAAAAAAACAAAAACAGCAGATTAAAACAACATAGTCACAACCAGGGCTGTGGAGGCGGCACACAAAACTTTGACTCTGACTCCTTTAATTATATATCGATAATTTATAATAAATTATAAATATATTAATTATATATTTCCTATATCGACTGCAAGCACGCAACATACAAGGCATTAAAATTAAAATATATCCTAAAAAATAGGTTAATCAAATTATTATCTATGAAATAGGAGATTTTAACATATATTATTTATATTATATACAATTTAAATTTATTAGGAGTTGGAGTTGGTTTTTTACCAACTTTGACTCCAGTAACCCAAGAATTGCTTCTGACTCTGACTCCGATTCTACAGCCCTGGTCACAACACAGTATCTTGTAGGGCTTTATAGATAATAACCAGCACTCTGAATTGGACTTGGAAGCTTACAGGTAACCTGCAGAACAGCCAAAGGACAAAGGGTGTGTCAGCCCTTCAAGGTAGGCCAGGTCAAGAACAGTCACTGCAGGAATACTACAGGGTCTATTAACAGAACCTTGAAAGCGTCTCCCAAACCTTACCTGTCCCTTTTGAAGGACAACAAGATCAAGCCGGGGCTAGACTGAGTCTCTTTCTCGCACTTTCTACCTTCCGGGGGCTGAGCAACCATTTCCCCTCTCTCATTTCCTTCTCAGAGCTAAATTCCTCTACAGGTATTACACTGCAAAAGGATGTTTTTGTCTGCCAGCAGCTGCTGCATTCTATACCAACTGGAGTTTCTTAGGTATCTTCAAAAGCAACCCCAGGGAGAGCTTATTGTTATTATCTGAGAACAAACTGCTCTGACTGTCTGTCTGTCTATTTTTCCATGGCATGTTTTGGGGGAATGCTCCTTACTGTTCAGAAAGCCTGGAGCACCTCTGTGCTGAAAAAACTGAGCTAGATAGAATGATGGTTAGATTTGGTCAAAGGTCGCTCCCTCTGTTAGAAAGGAGAGCTTATTGTTCAACCAGTGCTGCAGCGAAGCAAAAGACCAACCATAGCTAGTACAGTACTCTAGTCAGAAGCTGTCATCTGCTGAGAGAAAGGAGCATTCCGTGAAGCTGAGATGACATTTAAGTCAGGCAAGGACCTCCTCATTCACAGCTCAGCCTCTCTGGATGCAATCCCAAACTGGCATCTACCAGAAGTTGCCAAACTACAATTCTAGCCAGTCCAGCCAGCTTGGTCAATAGTGAAGGATGCTGGAAATGGTAGCCCTATAACATCGGAGAGCCATGGGCTCTCCACCCTTTGCATAACACATCTGGCTTGGTTACAGAACAAACTCAAATTTCTGGTTTTGGACAACTGAACTATCAACTAGCCAAATAAGCTGAGCCACAAAAAAGCCAAACAAGTTTTAAAGTAGCTAAGCTTAGCATATTCCATCACTGTGGGCATTAGGTCTCTGACTAAACTGGATAACTCTGTTGCATGAACTCAGCCATATCACTGCAATTAGCCACTAGGATATACCAGCAATTTCACCTACCTGCAAGTTATGCTGCTAAAATGGTAGCTGAGTAAACAGACCAAATAAGTGGGAGACAAGAAGGAAAAATGGCCCTTGGCTCCCGTTTCTACCCTTACTTCATAAATCTGTTAATCTACAGGTTTACTGTACAATCTCCTTTTAAACAAGCTGTAAACCTCAAGAATTCAGGCCCCAATACCTCTGATGAGTTGTTGCAGAGCTGCATAGCGCTTGTTCCTCACCCTGGTATGCTGGGTTTTGCCCAGGCCAGCTCTGCGCACCTCAGCACAGTAGAAATCTGCCTCATAATTGCCAGAGAGATGGTGGAAGCAGGGCAAGTGTTCTTCACGCAGGGCTGTTCGGAAGCGCTCCAGGAAGACCAGAGGTTTGGTGCGGTATAAATCCTGTAAAATGGCCAGCTTTTGTGCTGGTGTGAAATCTGGCTCATCCTTCTGTTGGCTCCGGACTGCCAAGCGGCTGTTGGCCACAGCATGGAACATGGCAAGGAGAGTGGAGTCGTCTTCCTCAATGGGACCTTCAGTCACCATGTTTGAACCAAGGGACTTAACATTTCCATTATCATAAAGTGACTGTTTGTCGCTGGAAGTCTCCTCTCTGTTGGGCATGCCACTTTCAGTATCCAAGTCCCCCAGTTTTTCAGTGCCTTGGTTAAACTCCTGGGTAAGCCTACCCACATTATTTGTGGCTGGGTTTTCTGTCTTTAATTCACCCCAGCAGGAAGAAAGAGGGAGGTCCTCACTGGACCCATGTTTGTCAACAGAAGAATTTAGGCCTAGATTCCAAGAACTCTCTTCCCTACAAGAGGGTGCTTCAGATGTTCCATTCCTGCTCAGGGGATACTTGTGTGAACGTGGGAGTCCTGACATTTGTTCTCCCCAATATGTCCGACACAAAGGGGAGTTGCCAACTGTCCTAAAGCTGCACATATCCAAGGCTGCAGGCTTCTGATCATCACCATGAGATGCTTGAAAAGACCCATCAGGGCCTCTGTTGCTCTGTGAAGGGCAAACTTTGCTTGCTGGAATTTCCATGCTGTAATTTCTTCTGCAGAGGAGAACTGATTTCCTGCCTCAATTTTGTCTGGAAAACTGCTCTCTGCGGCTTCTCTTTTTTTCTTTACGGAATTAATGCCTGGAAAGAGAGAATCATTCTTGTAGCATTAATTCAAACAGATACCAAGTGTCACCAAGAGACTGAATAATATCTACCACAGGCCTGTTCCTCAGAAATAAATGCAACTATACTCAATGGCACTACGGCCTGAACCCCAAGAGCTGTACTGTGAAGGACAGTTAAATTATAGAGAAGAGAAATTCAAAACTGTTTCAATGGCCACACATGTTGGAAGGAAGACCCAAGGTGATGGTGATGATGATGAAATCCCAAAATGGGGACTTTAATGGCATGAAAAAGACAGAATAAGTACGCAGTGGAGTTGCGGGGCGGGGGAAGAGAGAGCTTGGCTCCCCGTTGCCCAGTGATACTGATAAGGAGGGCCACAGGGTCACCCCACCATCCCTTAGGAAGCTCTGGCCCCAGCCAGTCGGCTTTTCCGACCACCCTGCAGACCCAAGAGCCGCAGCGAGGTCCGTGGCTGCACAAAGCCTCCAACGCGGCTCTACGTCCGCCCGGCCTGCTCACCCCAGGCGCTCTGGAGCAGGGAGGACCCAAAAGGGGGCCGTTTCCCAAGGAAGGGGAGCCTTTCCAGGGCAACCATACCCGCCCCGCCACCCCTCACAGCAGAGGAGGCGCGCCAGAGCGGAACTTCACCGGTGGAAACGGCTCCAGAAGCTCATCCCGCTCCTCCGTCGATCCCGCACCGCCCACCGTCTTCGCGGGGGAACATAAATCAAAACGAACAGGCTCTCTCCGAGGAACTTCCGGTTCCTGGGCGGGGCTAAGAGAATGGCGCTCCGGGTGGGAATCATGGCCCCAGAACCTTGGTTCCGGGAGGATTCTAACCGAACAGTTACCGCAGTGTTCCTCAACCATGGCCACTTGAAGGAGTTTGGACTTCAACTCCCAGAATTCCCCAGCCAGCACG